AGATCCTTACAACAAAGCCAAAGAGGTAAAACTCAATAGTGACAAAGTATACAAAAGCAACTAACAGAGATGAGATTTGTGACAACATGAGGCAAGTAGAGGATGTTGTTAAGGTAGACGGGTTGGGAGGTTAGCTTGGCAGAAGCAGTGGCATGGATGGGGAGATGTGACCTGTCTCCGACAATGATGCTCGGAGAGGATAACTTTGATGGAGAACAAAGGGAGCTAAGGTTCCCTGGGTTTCGTGTGAGGTGCGATAAAGCGCCCGAGTCGAGGTACCATTCGCCAATGCATGGCCCGAGCACACCGGTGGTGTTGGGAGGCAACCAGGGCGCATGCCCCTCGGGAGGGAAAGGCGCACCCCGAGGCGTGAAATATCCCGTCTAGGGAGTCTAGCCCCCTGGCACCGTCGTGCTCCGGGTCGCGTCCACGGCCACGACCGTGAGCATTGCCACCCTACGAGCGTGTGCGCCCGCGTTTGCCGGCGCCTTGTCTAGATCACCTCAGTTACATGAAGAGGCGCTGCTGGAAGAACCGCCGGATGAACTACCGCCGCCCCTGAGGCCGATCATGAGGACGTTGGATCCATCCGCACGGTCACGAGCGTCCTGGGTGATTTCCTCGAGAAGAAGCCACATGCAGGCCTAGTTGAAGGGGGATTGCATCGGCAAGACCGTGGCTATCACCTAAAACAGTCGAGAGAGGTCACGCAACATCTCTAATTTCAGCGTCCAATCGGCGGTCATGTTGTCAACGTCCGCCAGTGCCTTGAGCCGCCCATAGTAATCTGTGACCCGCAGATCGCCCTGCGTGAGGGTGCGGAAATCCATGTCGAAGTGAACCGACTGGGCAGGCTCGTTGGCGACGAAGAACTCGCACAGTTGGTTCCAGACGTGGTACAACGTGTTGTCATCGCCGCAATGAGTGCATATAAATACCTAACATGCATTTATTATAATTAGTCATCAAACATAAATTTTAAAAAATTGTTAATTATGTATTTTAAAAATGTTAAACATGTATAAAAAAGTTTGTTGATGTATATGTAAAATATACAGATGTGTATGAAAAATGTAGAAATACGTTGAACAAAAAAGAAAAAGACAAAGAAAAGCGGCGAAAACCGAAGAAATGGAAGAAAGAAACACAAGAAACACCGCATAAGCGAATAAAATCAGAAAATTCAAGAAAAGCCGTGAAAACCGTGGAGGAAACCAAGGAAAAACCGAAAGGAAAATAAAGAGAACTGATGAAAACTAAGAAAGATACAAAAAAACAGAAGACAATTACATAAAACAGGAAAGAAAAGAAAAAAACAAATAAATTGGAGGAAGGACCAAAAGAAAACCAATGAAAAAATAAAATAAAAACCAGTAATCGGAATACAACAGAGAAAACGGTGAAAAAACGAAGGGAAAACAAAAAAACTGAGGAATACATTGAAGAAACAAACAAAACCGGAAGCAAAGGAGAAAGTAAAAGAAAAATAGAAAAAGTAAAAAACAGAATAAAACTGGATCCGAACCCACGATCAAAGAAGCGATTGAACGACGAGAAGCCAGCCTAGAAACAACCGGAAGAGTGAAATCCTTGGCGCTAGAACTCCTTCTATGTCGGGTGATGCGAGATATAGCTCTCGCGGTACCTCGGAGCGCGCCATTGTCTCACTTCAAGCGAGACAGTAGGACGTCTCGCTGAAGGATGTCGCCCCATTGCGCCGGCCCAGCATGGACAAAGGCTTTCAGCGCTTTTCTTCTTTCATTTTTTTTCACCTTAATGCATTCTTTTTTTGTATTATTTATGTACTTTCGCTTGTATTTCAAAATATTCTGAATATATCTATTTTAAAAATTACTTTAGATATAAAAATTAAAAATGATAATCATGCCGTTATAAAATGCTAAATATGTATAGAAAAATGTTTCTGATGTGTATAAAAAATGTATACAAAAATTATAAAATGGATATGGGAAAAAAGTACAAAAAAAAGTTGATTCTCAAGTTGCATCGTAGCCTCACCAACGCTGCTTGAGCTTGAGCTTGAGCTTGAGCTTGTTCCACCATCTCATTCTCAGCTCCTCCTTCAAACCTGTACAATATCCCAAAACTATAAGTGTATTCTTTTCTTTTTTTTGAAACAAAAGGTAGAGCTGTCTCTACCTTATCCATTTCAAAACAGGCAAAAAAAGCCTGGGTGACCGAAGTCAATTACATGAGCGACTATGTGAGCGCCGCAAAAGTAGTTGCAGCAGGCCATAGTCAAGCCTAGTAGCAGGAGTGTGGGGGAGAACAACAAGAATATCTGAACCCTTAAAAAAAACAAGAACTGGAAAAGGAGGAAAGAACACCTCCAGGAAAAGAAACACAGAACCATAAGTGTATTCAAATTGTAGATACTCAATAGGTCATGAATAAAGAGGGACATATCGTGTATGGTAGGTCTTAGCATTCGCAACATGACAAAGGCGCGTAAACATAGTGAAATGAATACTTAAAAACACATAAAACTGTAAAAGCAATCGGTAGCTCTGCGACGCTTCCACCGGCAATGCCATAGCCAACCTTCCGCAAGTGGACAGAATTGCAACAACTTGCATGAACGGAAACACATGCTTGAGACTAGTGAAACATAAAATTGGTAATATTTTTCCTTTCTGTGTCAGGAATCAAACTGCCTTGAAGACTTGTAAGGATGGTGATCATTTGCCTACTGGGAAGTGCCACTCCCAACAAAAACATGAAGTTGAGGTGCTACCAGTCTTGATTAGCCTACTGGTAGCACAGAAACAAAATGTTAATGCTTTCGCCAACCATGGTCAGATCAAGGCACATAAGATAAACTCCATGTTTGTTCTGGATCACCATATTACGGACAATACCGAGCCAAAGGTACCCTTTTGATGACCAACCTGTGGTTACCACTGGCCTGACAACCAACACTCGCATCATCAGCAGTTTTGTTTCGATCTTCCGGTGGTTTATCCTGCTAGAAAAGTTGAATTAACATAACCTGTCACAGCACAGAGCAAGGTGACTAACATTCCCGGGAATCCCGTAGTTGCCTGCCAACAATTCTTGTGTTTATCAAGCAGTAAACCATAACCATGTAGCCAGGCCAGCCCAGCCCAGCCCAGCTCTTCGCTGCTCTACTTCTTTCTGTTCATTCAGTGTCCAGCAGTCCAGGAATGCAGAACAATTTGCACAACAGAGCAGATAAATAACCATGCATATCACTTCCTTTGTACACACATCAACTTTTCTCCTCAATTCCAAATACTACCTGACTAGTGTCATAACACACACACACTTGTACTTGCAGGATATAACATCAGTAGATCACAATCACTTCGACTTAATACAGTCTTAATTAACTTGCTAATTGATTGCACAGAAACTAAACATCAATGACGCTATGGCCAACTTTTGCGGCAGATACACCACCATTGTCAGATAAAACTCCAGGTCAAATATAGATGACCATACCACAAATCTATTTTCAAGTTGCAGCACAAGCCTTAATAGGCACCATCTCCAACCCTCAACTCATCAGCTTGACATCCAACATCCGCCTTACCAGCAGTACTCTCATCTTGATGGCCATCCACGGGCCCTTCAGCTTGGAGGGCCTCAACGCCTTGTTCCAGCACCTCCTCAATATCTGTCCAATATCTCAAAATTATGCACAACCAAAATGTATATATATTCAGAAGCTTGTTTGTTTACAGCAGCTCTCGATAATGGGTACACTTGGCCAATCGCTTGAAGAGAACAAACACATAAAGAAACTAGCAGAATAGATGTGATAAAATGCTAGGGCTTAAAACAAACGAGAAACATGATCCATGGAAAATAAACCTTCGGAATTCTTTCCCCCATGGTTCAGTTACTAATATCGACCTCGAACACTCACTTTTGTTTGTTTAGCTTCCTAATTTGCAGTACAAGGGTAAAAACATATGCGCGGTCATTCAGAAATGAATCATACAGGAACTTAAAAGTCACAAAAGAAAGGATAGGTTCATGTTGCAGGACTTCATAAACTACCTGCATTCGGCAGTGCCTTGAAGGATGGTGAGAAGTTCAAAATTTCAAACGATGTACAAACACCTGCCTCTAATTTATCTCGAGAAGCTTATTTCAAATCAAATAGTGCTCCATTCAGAAATTAATCATGCTCAACACTTCAATTATCCTCACACTATACACAGCGATGCATTAGTAGTAGCAATTGATTGGGTTTTTATTTGCAACCATACCAGCTATGCCTCCTTGTATCTTATCTGAAGCCAACACACTGAGATAAACCAACTCCTGCTACCAGGAAAAAATGTTCCAGGGACGAACATAATTGCAAAGTTGTAGTCCTTCTCCATTAGCTTGACCAAAAAACGCTATTTCTCCAAAATATTTGTTTTGATATGGTGCACTGTACAAATCCACAATGCCCCTAAAATGGTACTCATAGTGTTCAAGATCCACTCTTACTTATCTGATTACCATAAAGTACCATTTAGAAAAGACTAGTAAATAAATCACAATCATGTTCATGAATCTTCATCATCTTTGCCACAGGCACATAAGTACTAACAACTATGAAATGTGTAAATAAAAAAGAGGTCACAATAACTAACTATCAAGAATCAGACAAAGCTGTGGGATAACAATGAATGTCAGGGAATAACTACGAAGCAACAGAAAATTTACCACTTGATACTTTCGGTGATGAGAACGACGGTGGGTAGTTGCTATATGTGTGGCCATGCACCGTCGAAGCACACACTCTCTTGAGCTGTAAAGTTTCGATGTCCACTGCGAATCTGCCTTGCTCGAACGATGAGCTTCCGCGATGATCCAGGAGGAAGTACGTCCCCTTTGCACATCTGAGCATGTCCCAAGAGATCAGCGGGAGTGAGATTATCTTCTCCTTCTGCCACTGGCTGGAGCTCCCACCATTTTTCCTACAAATGGTATAACTGCGGCTAGATATGTCAGGCCCCCTAACAAGCATTCTAGGCCTGCCTTCTCCTGATTCAAACATAGGTATACCAGTGCTGGATGAATTTTTGGCTTCGGATGGGGGTTCAACAATGGAGAACTCCATCATCCAGGTGTCGAGCACCAACATTTTCGATTTGTGCTGCCACTGCCAGTTTGGCAGCCAGTAAAAGCAGCCACACGCATACTGCCGGTGGAGGAAGAGTGGAATCCATGTGGATGATAGCAAACCATCTAACAAATTGGTCCAACTCTGGGATACGGCTCGCCATTGTCTAGTACTGGAAGAGAAGACAAAGGCAATGAGCTTAGCTCTACACTCCACCATCCAAATCACTCTGAATGACGTTTCCTCATCGCCATCGGGAGCGAGGAAAGTCTCGCAGAAATTGTGCCGGATTGGGTCCTCCACCGAAGCTCTTAGGTCGTCAGGGATTGGGGGAAGCAGTTCGTACTGCCGGTGCAGCGGGTCGCACACCGCCATCTCCGTGAACCGGTCCCCGTGATAAAACACCCCCGGGGTTGTGCCGAGGAGGACGCGGCCGTCGCGAATGTCCCGGACAGCCCAGCGGTCAGCGGCGGCGGGGGCGGGGACGAAGGAGAAGGAGAAGTCGCCGGCGAGGGCGACTGCTCTGGCCGCCGACGCGGACGGGTAAGGTGGTTCGGCGGGCTGCAAGTCTTGGCTTGCGTTGACGAAGCCGAGGAGGGGCGGGGCGTGGAGCTTGCGGTACTGCCGGAGGAAGGAGCGGTCGGTGATGAGGAGGCGGAATGTGACGCAGGTGGCGGAGGTGAGGACGAGGTCGGCCAGGTCGGGAATGCGGCAGAAGATGTCCAGCAGGAGGTGAGGACGAGGTCGGCCAGGTCGGGAATGCGGCAGAAGATGTCCAGCAGGAGCTCCTCAGGGATCGGCAGCGAGGAAACTTCCCGGGCGCCATGCGGCCGCGGCAGCGGACGAGGAGGGGACTCGGGCTGGTGCTCGAGGACGGCCGGATCCCAGAGTTCTCTGTCACAACGCAAAACACGGCCTGAGTTCTCTAAAACAAGACAGGTAAACTAGTAACTCTTTCAAGAAAGGACGCACATTACAAAAACACACACCACTGCTATCGTCCAGCTTGGCTCAGATTAAAATGAATGAATACTGGAATGACATTCAAATAAACAACAATCTGATGTGGCAAAATTAGCAGAACATAGCAGTACATAACCATGCGATTCACTTCCATTGTACACACATCAACTCGGATTTCATACCTCTCATATGCATGTGCAAGAAGAAATTGATTGACCAATCTCAAATGCCTGATCTCCAATGACACGTCTTGGCTTTTCTCAATTCCAAATACCTGATTAGTGTCATTCCACACACTTGAACTTGCAGGCTACAACAAGATAGGTAGATCACAGTCACTTTGACTTAATACAGAGTCCTAGCTAACTTGCTAACTGATTGCACAGAAACTAAACATTTATGATGCTCTTGCCAACTTGTGCAGCAGCCAGCAGATACACCATAATTGTCAGATAAACTCCAGGTCAAGTTGCAGCACAGCCTTAATCGGCACCATCTCCAACCCCCAACACATCAGCTTGACCTCCATTTTGATGGCCATCTACGGACCCTTTAGCTCGTAGGGCCTCCACGCCTTGTTCCAGCACTTCCTCCTCAATACCTGTCCAAAATGCAGATATTCAGAAATTTGTTAGCAACAAGGAACAAACAACGGCTCTTTATACTCCCTCCTGTCCTAAATATAAGTCTTTTTAGAGATTTATATATGGACTGCATACGGATGTATATAGACGTATTTTAGAGTGTAGATTCACTCATTTGCTCCGTATGTAGTCCATATTGAAATCTCTAGAAAAGACTTATATTTAGGAATGGGGGGAGTACTGGGTAACACCTGGCAAATCGCCCAAGAGGAAACATATGTAGAACTGAAGAAGCTAGTAGAATAGCTATGATAAAATACAAGAGCTTAAAACAAACAAAGCACACGATGAATGGAAAATCAACCTTCAGAATTCTTTTTCCCAATAGCACAGTTAGTAAGATTGACGTCAAACACTCAGTTTTGTTTGTTTTCATTGCAATTTGCACATAGATGTGTTCATTTAGAAATGAATCATAGAAGTAAGTGTTGGAAGACTTCATAAAGCTAGTAGCTTCATGGTTGCCCTGCCTCTAATTTATCTTGAGAAGCTTATTTCGAATCAAACAGTTTCTGACCACAAGCTAGTAGCTATTTGAATGGCAGCACCATTGTTGGGTGGGATAGTACTCCCTTGAGAAATCAATCAAGCTCAACCCTTCAATTATCCTCACAATATACACAGAGATGCATTACAGCATTATTGGTAACAATTGCTTCGGTTTTTTGTTGCAACCATAGCAGCTATAGCTCCTTGTATCTTATCTGAAGTCAACATCCTGAGATAAATGTATAGGTGTAAAGATGAAGAAAATGTGACTTCTCTGTCTAATCATATCTATGAAAAGAGACAAACCAAGTCCTACCAGGAAAGAATGTTTGCAAGGTAAAGTAATCCAAGGATGAACACAATTTCAAACTTGTATTCCTTCTCCATTAGCTTGACCAAAAAAACTATTTATCCAAAATAATTGTTGTGATCTAGTGTTCTGTACGAAACCACAGTACCCCCAAAATGGTATTCATAGTGTTCAATATCCTTTCTTGTCTGATTACCATAAAGTAGCATTTAGAACAGACTAACAAATAAATCACAATCATGTTCGTGAGCATCTTTGCCACAAGCACAGAAGAAGTAACAACTATGAAATGTATAGGTGTGAAGATGAAGAAAATGTGACTTCCCTGTCTCATTATGCCTATGAAAAGAGACAAACCAACTCCTAACAGGAAAAAATGTTTCCAAGGTGAAATAATCCAAGGATGAACATAATTTTAAGCTTGTATTCCTTCTCCATTAGCTTGACCAAAAAAACTATTTATCCAAAATAATTGTTGTGATCTAGTGTTCTGTACGAAACCACAGTACCCCCAAAATGGTATTCATAGTGTTCAAGATCCTCTCTTACTTGTATGATTACCATAAAGTAGCATTTAGAACAGACTAACAAATAAATCACAATCATGTTCATGAGCATCTTTGCCACAAGCACAGAAGAAATAACAACTATAAAATGTGCAAACAAAAAAGAGATCACAATAACTTACTATCAAGAATCAGACGAAGCTGTGTGAAAATAATGAAGTGCAAGTAATAAGTATGAAGCAAAAGAAAGTTTACCACTTGATACTTTCGGTACCGACAACGATGGTGGGTAGTTGCAATATGTGCTGCCAAGCACTGAAGCACACACTCTCTTAAGCTGTAATGTTTCGATGTCCACTGTGTATAAGCCTTTCTCAAGCGACGAGCTTCCAAAGTGATCCAGGACCAAATAATTCCCAATTGAACATCTCAGCACATCCCGAGGGCCCGGTGAGAGTGAGACCATCTTCTCCTTCTGCCACTGGCTGGTGCTCCCACCATTTTTCCTCCAAAGGGTATGATTGCCGCAAGTCATGTCATAGGTACCAGCAAGCATTCTAGGACGGCCTTCTCCTGTCTCCATCATGGTTATACCAAGAAATAACGCATTTTTGGCTTCAGTTGGGGGTTCATCAACGGAGAACTCCATCCTCAGGGTGTCGAGCACCAACATTTTCAAATCGTACTGACAGTTTGGCAGCCAGTAAAAGTAGTCGCACGTACATTGGCGCCCGTAGAAGAGTGCCAACCCAGTCGATGACACGAAGCCAGCTAACAAATTGGCCCAACTCTGGGATGGAATGGCTCGCCATTGCCTGGTGCTGGAAGAGAAGACAAAGCCCACGACCCTAGCTTCGCACTGGACCATCCAGATCACTCTGAATGACGTCTCTTCAGCAGTTGATGCCTCATTGCCGTCGCCTTGCGGAGCGAGGAATGTCTCGCTGAAATGCGGCCGTATTCGCATGAGCGGGTCCTCCACGGCAGCTGCTAGGTCACCGGGGATTGGGGGAAGCAGGAGATACTGCCGGTGCAACGGGTCGCACACCGCCAACTCTGTGAAGACGACTCCACGGGCACTATAACCTTCCCGGGGGCTTGCTTCAAGAAGGACGCGGCCGTCTCGGCTGTCCCGGACGACCCAGCGGTGAGCGGGGTCAGGGGCGGGGACGAACGAGAAGGAGAAGTCTCCGGCGAGGGCGACGACCCGAGCTGCCGGCGCGGAGGGGTGAGGCGGGACCGCAGGGTGGAAGACATTGTCTCCGTACTGGAGGAAGCCGAGGAGGGGCGGGGCGTGGAGCTTGCGGTACTGCCGGAGGAAGGAGCGGTCGGTGATGAGGCGGCGGAATGTGACGCAGGCGGCGGAGGTGAGGACGAGGTCGGCCGGGTCGGGAATGCGGCGGAAGATGTCCAACAGGAGCTCCTCTGGGAGCGGCGGCGAGGAAACTTCCCGGGCGCTATGCGGCCGCGGCAGCGGAAGAGGAGGGGACTAGGGCTGGTGCTCGAGGACGGCCGAATCCACGCGGATCTGTCGCCCGTCCGCCGCGCCGCCGGCCATCCCGCCGCCGATCTGGAATCTACGGGCGGACGGCCCGGAGTGAGGAGTGAGAGGATTTGGGGAAGGAGAAAGGAGGCGCTGTTGCTGCAATTGAGACATCTCCAAGAGCCTTTGACGCAGATATACCAACGGAGAAGCTGTGGTGTCCAACATCACACAAGATTCCATCCTGTCCGTTGCTTACGCATCGAGCGGCCACAATCTATTGGGTGACATTTACTACTCTTTTCTTGAGTACATGCACGTGTTTAGCTTAATCTTGTGCTCGTAGTGAATGCAAATATGTGATGTTTTGTGGCCTTATGTGACAATTTGATCTATAATTACAAAAAAAAGGAGGCCCGTTTATGAGCGAAACCATTGCGGAGCCGTGTTTCGTCGACGGACCGGCGCCTCCTACCTCCTTCGGCGGCCTCGCCGGCGCCGGAGCAAAGTGGGGTACAGCCCGATCTACCGGCTGGACTTGTGTTCATCAGTAGGTAGGTTGTAATTATGGTTTCCCTGTCTGGCGGTTCGTCCTTTGGGTGTGGCGGCGGCGGTGAAGTAGTTTGTCTCCCCCGTTCCATCTCGGTGTCCGGTGAGGCTTCTTTTCACGGTACTGCTGCTGGTTCGATGGGGATGAATGAAGTTTCCTCCGGTTACTTCTGCGGCTCTGTTGGCGTGAGCGGCGCCAGATCCATCGATGTTTTCGGGTGGATCGGTCTGCCGGGGCTTCTCTTTCTTCATCGTCAATCTTGGGGTTGGAGGCGAGGAGTTGTTGGCTTTGTTTGTGCATTGTGCAGGAGTGGATCCAGATCCATCTTCCTCTTCTCCATTGGTGAGGGTGAAGATGGGGCGTTGCTGATGATGCTTGCGGTCTACCACATCTCCGACGTGCTGGTCCAGAAGGGCCTAAGCTTGAAGACTTCCCGTTTGCAAAAAGTCTGTCCATGGATTCCAAGATCACACCAGCTCTGGGAGGGAGCGGCAGCGAGCCCTCAACTCGCGGTGGTGTGTGAGCCTGGTCGGCTCCCCAGGGACCCGGGTGTAATTCCTTTCTTTGTTGGGTTCGTTGTATCACTATTAATCTATAAATCTGGGTTCCTTTTAGCGGAAAAAATTTGATCTGTAATTTGATCACATCCGTGGCAGCATATTTAGTGTTGATTTTTTTTCCTTGTATAATTAGTGTTGAGTTCAGGAGAATGACATAAACGCAACACACATTCTATTGATCATAGCCATGGACATTGTAAGAATGGTCACCCCTTTGTCGTGATGTTAGGGCACCTCCAACGCTGACACGTAAATTTGCTCTGGTATCCGTCTGCTAATAAAATTCATGCAAACACGACGGATTTTCATATAAACCGGATGATTCATGCAAACACGGTGAATTTTCATTACATTCGAACATTTAGATTTAGAAAATCTTTTGACCCTAACCTATCCTACGGCGGCGGCCGGGGTCCGCTTCCTTGTATTCCGTATCGGCGACTACATCCTACATCTGCATCTCCATGAACGGCGACGGGGTTCAAAAGTCGTGAAGTGAAGGTGGGGTCTCCATCGAGGAAGAGGAGAACATGGTAGACGGACCAGTCCACTTGGGATACAATGCCCTGCCGCCTCTCATGCCCTACTCATCCTCGGAGGAGTCTGCGACCTATCCATCACCGGTTGAAAGTGCAATCATGCCCTTAAACTTATTTTTATGTTGATGACAACATACATATGGGGGACTAATCGTGTTTATAAAGTATATCTCACGATTAAGTCTCAAGGGCCATGTGTGGATCATGACTACGGACAAATATATATCACTCAAGAGCGAAGATACAAGACAATAGCTTTGGCACTTTTTCGGTTGTTCTTGAGTATAGGGATCCCGCACTATTAAGATGGGATCGTCGGATATCGTGAAAGACTTGCTGAAAACGCACAAAGTATCCTCTCATAACATTTTTGTTTCATCTCTGGTTCTTCCACTACCTTGTGCACAAAGTCTGTTATGATCCTGAGCTAGTGTGCTCTGTTATCACCAGACGTCCGAAATTCTACGGACGTCCGACCCCTCACAGCCAACCGGGCATCTGGCTCTCTCTGGATGTCCGGTGCATCTTCACAGAACGTAAATAGTGGATTTCCGGTCCTCTTTGGACGACCGGTCACCGGACGTCCGTTTTCTCTCCGAGCATCCGGTACATCCTCAACAGAACACTTTTTACGGATTTTCGATCCTCACCGGACGACCGGCACATTTCGGACGTCCGATGGCTGTGTGTCTCGTACTGTTTTGTGGCCTGGTGGATTCCCAGCGACCGGACGACCGGCGGCATGGTCGGACGTCCGGTCCAATCTATGCCACCGGACGTTCGGTATTATCCGGACATCCGACAACTCCAGTATGTTAAGTGGCTCAATGGTCTGTTTTTTGCACTACTACTATATATAGCCTCCTCCCTCTACGAGATAAGGTTGACCATTGATACGTCTCCAACGTATCTATAATTTTTGATTGTTCCATGCTATTATATTAGCCCTTTTGGATGTTTATGGGCTTTATTTTACACATTTATATCATTTTTGGGACTAACCTACTAACCGGAGGCCCAGCCCATATTGCTGTTTTTTTGCCTATTTCAGTATTTCGAAGAAAAGGAATATCAAATGGAGTCCAAACGGAATGAAACCTTCGGGAGCGTGATTTTTTGAACAAACGTGATCCGGAGAGCTTAGAGTGCAAGTCAAGAAGCTTCCGAGGGCCCCACGAGATAGGGGGCCACCCCCCCTGTAGGGCGCGCCCCCTGTCTCGTGGGCCCCTCGGGCGGCCACCAACGTACTTCTTCCTCCTATATATACCTACGTACCCCGAAAACATCCAGGAGCACCACGAAACACAATTTCCACCGCCGTAACCTTCCGTATCCACGAGGTCCCATCTTGGATCCTTCGCCGGCACTCTGCCCAAGGGGGAATCAACCATGGAGGGCCTCTACATCAACATCCTTGCCCCTCCGATGAGTTGTGAGTAGTTTACCACAGACCTGCGGGTCCATAGTTATTAGCTAGATGACTTCTTCTCTCTTTTTGGATCTCAATACAATGTTCTCCCCCTCTCTTGTGGAGTTATATTCGATGTAAACTCTTTTTGCGGTGTGTTTGTCGAGATCCGATGAATTGTGGGTTTATGATCAAGCTTATCTATGAATAATATTTGAATCTTCTCTGAATTCTTTTATATTTGATTGAGTTATCTTTGCAAGTCTATTCGAATTATCAGTTTGGTTTGGCCTACTAGACTGGTCTTTCTCTGAATTATCAGTTTGGTTTGGCCTACACATATTGTATTGTTACCATCGAGGATAACAAGATGGGGTTTATATCATATTGCATGTGTTTATCCCTCTACATCATGTCATCTTGCTTAATGCATTACTCTGTTCTTATGAACTTAATATTCTGGATGCAGGCAGGAGTCGGTCGATGTGTGGAGTAATAGTAGTAGATGCAGGCATGAGTCGGTCTACTTGTTATGGACGTGATGCCTATATACATGATCATGCCTAGATAATCTCATAACTATGCGCTTTTCTATCACTATCTCGATAGTAATTTGTTCACCCACCATAATACTTATGCAATCTTGAGAGAAGCCTCTAGTGAAACCTATGGCCCCCGGGTCTATCTCTTATCATATTTGCTTTCAATCTACTTTATTTGCATCTTTAATTTTTGCATCTATATTACAAAATACCAAAAATATATTTATCTTATCATACTATCTTTATTAGATCTCACTTTCGCAAGTGACCGTGAAGGGATTGACAACCCCTTTATTGCGTTGGTTGCAAGTGCTCAGTTTGTTTGTGTAGGTGCGTGGGACTTTTGAGGAGCCTCCTATTGAATTGATACCTTGGTTCTCAAACCTAAGGGAAATACTTACGCTACACTTTGCTGCATCATCCTCTCCTCTTCGAGGAAAACCAACGCAAGCTCAAGACGTAGCAAGAAGGATTTCTGGCGCCGTTGCCGGGGAGGTCTTCGCTCAAGTCAAGACATACCAAGTACCCATCACAAACCCATCTCCCTCGCATTTACATTATTTGCCCTCGTTTTCCTCTCGTTTTCCTCTCCCCCACTTCACCCTTGACGTTTTATTCGCCCTCTCTTTCCCAATCTCCTCTTCTCCTTTTCACTTGCCTTCTTTTGTTTGCTTGTTTGCTTATGGCCGCGCCTAAGGGTCCTGACCACCGTCTTAGAAGGATGGATGAGATTGAATCAAATATTAGAAGCTTTATGAATTGACAATTTGAGCATAACAATTTCTTTAGAAAAGAGCTTAAGGAACAAAAAAGTTTTTTGGGGTTTATGAACAAAGAGCTTGATGATATGAATAAAGAATTCTATGGTGTTAATGCTCAAATTAC